GAACAGTGTGAGGAACAGTGTGAAGAACAGTGAGAGGAACAGTGAGAGGAACAGTGAGAGGAACAGTGTGAGGAACAGTGTGTTGAACAGTGTGAGAAGAACAGTGTGAGAAGAACAGTGTGAGGAACAGTGAGAAGAACCGTGAGAGGAACAGTGTGAGAAGAACAGTGTGAGGAACAGTGAGAGGAACAGTGAGAGGAACGCTGTCTTGTTTCATACTGCACATGGTTGCAATGACAATAAAGCCACTTGACCTGACACTGCTCTGTTTTTTACTCTCACAGAGAAGACGAGATGATCACAGCCGTCTGGACATTAATCAAATGAGTGCCCCCTGACATCAAGGTTTCGTGTGGATCATTTAGTTGATGGTTGGTTTGAAGAAGAACCAAAGATTGTGGAGATCATCTGAGCTTTTAAGAAGCTGTCCTTAATACGTTGGAATCAGACAACCAGGACAATTGAGGTCCTCCTGGATGGGTCCATAAAGAGAAGGGCTCGGTCCATGTCTCCTTTTTCCTTCAGAATGGTGAAATCAGACTTGGAGGATCAGAAGGTCAGTGGATCTGTTGAACCTCCAGCTGTCTCTGTCTATCTCTGTACTTCACTTTGGCAGAGAGGATTTCATGTCAGCAAGAAGTTTCCTTGGTGAAAGAGTCCTGGTGAACATGTCGATACTGTTAAACTGGGTCTAGCTCTCACTTCTATCTCCATTCAGAAGCTCATAAGTAACAATGGTTAAGTTAAAGCCCTCACAGAAAACACCTCCACTTCTGTGATGTCCCAATGAACCACTGCAGTTATAGTCCGATGGGCAGTAAAAGTCAAACCACCAAAATCAAACAAAGGGGGCCTAATATGTGAGTGTAACAGTCTAAAATGATGAAGCTCAGATCAAATAACCGGCTCAGGCTAAATTAAAGTAACACAAGTTTGAATGAAGAGATTATGGTGAGAACCACCCCACCACTCTGACTGTGATGTCAAACCCTCACCTGTGATGATGCTGACATGCGCCCAGCCAAAAAATCTGAGCACGGTGAACAGGACTCTGGTGGGAGGAGTCAGTGGCGGCAGGTTTGGCCAGTCAGCATCTAGACAACCAGGAGAGGAGAGTCCAGCCTCCCAATGCTCAGTCATTAGGGAGGCAGAGTGACAGAGGGCGGGATTAAAGGGTCCAATGTAGGCATAGCCATAACCTTCAAAGTCCCCAAAGTTGGTCAGAGCTAAAATAAAAAGGTCAAAGGTCAAATAAATATCACACAAATAAAAATAAGGAAAATAAAAATATTTCACTTACTCCAGTCTGTAAGCTGATAAACACACTTCAAATAAGCGTGTGTTGATAAGACTGATTAAATGTCTAATGATCCTTTGGAGGTGGTCTAATGTGTTCTGATTGTTCATTCAATTCAATTTTATTTATAAAGCTCCAAATCACAACAACAGTCACCTCAAGGCGCTTTATATTGTACAGTAGATCACACAATAACAGATACAGAGAACAACCCAACAATCACATGACCCCCTATGAGCAAGCACTTTGGCAACAGTGGGAAAGAAAAAACCCCTTTTAACAGGGGGTCTAATAATTGGCTGCCATCTCATCATTGTGTGATTGGTTAACCCTGTAGCACTTTGTTCTAGTGTAACTAACCGTAACTGTAACTGGTAATCTCTTTCTAAATATTTTACTGAACTTTATTTTAAGGTCCTATTGGCTGATTGGATAACAGACCTTTGGAGGCAGAGCAGTCCTCGTCCAGCACTTTGACATCATACCAGTACCCTCTGCTCATACTGGTGTCAGTCCGTAACCTGGACAATGCCAGCGTGACCGCTGCTGTCGGCATCGCCCGGGAAAACAACGGGTCACATGACCACGGACCGACCAAGGCGATCTTGAAGGTTGTTGTCCGAACCTCTTCGATGCATAGCAACCACAGACACGCCCCTAGCAACCATCGAAGCTGCATCCTGACAACCTGCCTGAGATTCAGACAGATTTTTAGAAAGTCAACAAGAACACAAACTCGCCTGAACAAAGATGAAACAAAAAAACTGATTCAGGTTTGTCAAACTACTGTCTGTTAACAAGGAACCTGAAACCTCCACGTAATGAATTACTTAACCTGCAATGTCAGTTCATTTTAAAGACAGGGCTTAAGACTGTGGGCTTACCACCCACACGAGGGGCTGTAGGGTTGGGTGCTTAGATGGTAAATGGTGAATGGATTGGTTCTTATATAGCGCTTCTCTACTCTTTCTGAGCACTCAAAGCGCTGTACACAACTTGTACATTCACCCATTCGCACAAGCACATTTTTCCAAGTGCTTTCTAAGTAACATTCACACACATTCATACTCCGATGGATGTATCGGAGAGCAATTTGGGATCTTGGCCAAGGATATTTGGCTTGCAGACTGAGGACGCCAGGGATCGAACCACCAAGCTTTCGCTCTACCACCTGAGCTACAGCCACCCCAGACAGTCTGATGTACTGGCGCTCCGATTTTCAGCTTCCAAAACTGGCTTGTGGCACATGGAATGTCGCCTTTCTGGTGGGAAAGGCGCCTGAGCTGGTGCATGAGGTTAAGATGTGATGACCTCAGTGCATAGCTCTGGTTCTCAACCAGTTTCCTATAGATGACCTGGACTCTGTTCCCCTCTGGAGTTGCCCTCGATGTGAGGGCACGGACAGAGTGGTACTACATGTATCGCCACGGTTGGCTGCCTTTGCTGTTGGAGTTTTCCCTGGTGGTTCCCTGCGCCTTGTGGTCGTGGAATGAGTCCTAATTTTTGTTTGTGTGTATGAGCCAAATGACCCTACAGAGTTCTCCAGCACCCCATCCAGCCTTCTTAGAGTCACTGGGTGGGGGTAATAACTCTCAATAACTCTCCAATAAGGAACTCTATTGTCCTGCTGGGGGACTGAGAAGGTGCTGAAGGTTACGTTTCTGCAGTGTTGCATTGCCTCTACATTGGCAGACCAGATGGTGGTTGCCCTGTTTAAGCAAGGGGTCTAGAGGGTGTGCTCCAACTACAGAGGGATCACACTCAACAGCTTTCCTGGGAAAGTGTATGCCAGTGTTCTGGAAAAGAGATTTGTAGTCGACCCTCGGATTCAGGAGGAAGGCTGAATCCACTGGTTGTGGAACACTGGACCGGCTCTGGCAGTCTGTAATAAGACTTAATAATGCTGGACATACAACTCAGAGGAGACAAGCATCAGAAATCTGTATGAATCACTTGTTTGTAACACTGAAAACACATTTACACTAAACATACCAGTCAAAACAGAAGAGCACGCTATTGTTTTAAATAGATTTTATAGACCAACATTGCATATGTACACTGATGCTTTTACAGGGTTTGGCTTCCTCTGGACGCAATGCAGTCACATGTCAGTTACATGGACAGCAGAAGAACATGCAGTCAAATTCAAAGTGGAATCACACTCAGGACTTGCTGTGAGGCAACAGTGCTAACCACTGCGTCACTGTGGACTGTGGGTAGCCAGAATCACATGACCTGTAAGTTTATAGCACCAAATCCACACTTTAAGCTTAAATTTCAAAACTTACATTTAACTACTGATTTTATCTACTGTTCTGATTTGATCTGTTTTGATTTTATATGCTGTTGTTTGTTTGTTAATTAGTTAGTTAGTTTATTTGCTTGTTTTAATCAATTTTAAATCATGCTTTTTATTTGTTCTTGTTTCTAATGTCTCTGTAAAGCACTTTGAATCACCTTGTTGTTGAATTGTGCTATACAAATAAACTTGCCTTGCCTTGCCTTGCCTTATACTACAGCAGAGGTTTTAAATCCATCGACCAGCCTGCCACCTGAATGATGTAACATCTTACCTTTAACATCTGCTCCTTAATCTTGTGTTAGGTATTAAAGTGAATAACAGATTAAGAATTTAGAGGCCTAGGTAGTGCTTCGTTAAAAGATGATGACAATGTAGAAGCTCCAAGGTGATAAGGTCACAGGGACCTGCTGGCCCCTTCACAGAGGACCACGCTCTGTTTTAAGGTGAGAATACTTCAATAAACCCTCAGAAGAAGACCTTCTGTTTGACATCACATGACTTAAGTGTCATTTCCACAGTAACTATGAATGAGATGCAGTTAACCACACGTAGGATGCTTGCTTGTATCAGCGTTTGAAAGCTGACTGTCAAAACCTCTGAAACGACCACATTTCCTCTGACCTCCTGCAGCTGTGACTCTGTGGGGTTTGTGAAGAGTCTCCAGGTGATGTCACAGAGATGCTTCTCTCTGGGGATAATTAATCTGAAGGTAGGTCTGAGTCCACATTAGAGACTGTGATGACTTGAAGCTGAACACTCAAACCACCAGGCACTGGAAACCTTCAACCTGCTAAGGGACTAGGACCACCTGAGTAGGACCACTATGAACCATGACCCCCTTCAGGACTTGAGCCTCAGTGAACCGGCTTTCTGAAACAGGACCCTCAGCTGTGGCTCATTTGTGACTGGTTCTCCTCAGAGACCATAAATCCTAAAGTTTGGACCCTTAGGTACAGCAACTGGAGAGCAGGTGGAGGCTTTCACTGGTTTGTCTGGCTGCCACCAGAGGCTGTCCAGAGACATGCATGTTGTGCAATAACAC